GAATTAGGTGTTTACCACAGCCATTTCCATTCTCTTCGTGAAATCTACCACTGCCTGTTCTTCTAAGTTTCTCTCCCTCACACCAGACCTACCTATCACTTCCTCATCTCCTCTGTTCCCTTCCCCTACATGACCATTAAGGTCTGCTCCAATCACCACTCTCTCTCTCCCCTGGGGATACTCTCTACCATCCAATCCAGCTCAGTCCAGAACTTCTCCTTTTCTTCCAAATCACAGCCCACATGTGGGGCATAACCACTAACAACATTTATCATCACTCCTTCTATTTCTACCTTCACACACATCAACCTGTCTGACTCTCGTTTCTTCTCCACCACATTTCTTACATATTCTTCCTTTAGGATCAGCCCTACTCCATTTCTCTTCCCATCTGAACCATGATGAAACAGTTTGTAGCCTCCTCCAATGTTTCTAGCCTTGCTGCCCTTCCACCTGGTCTCCTGCTACAAAATGTCTACTCTTCTTCTCTCCATCATATCAGCCAGTTCTCTACTTTTCCCTGTAATTGTACCTACATTCCAAACTTCAGACCAACACTTCTATTTTTCCTCTTTTCTCTTTTTGTCTGAATCAATCGCCCTCTTCTTCTTCTTTGTCTCTGACCAACAGTAGTCCAATTTCCACCAGTACCCTGTTGGTCAACAGCACTGTTGGTGGTCGTTGTTAACCCGGGCCTCGACCGATCCGGTATGGAAATCGTTTTAGTGATTCGCATATTTGATTTGGCTAAAAGTGTTACACCGGATGCCTTTCATGACGCAACCCTCACCATTTATCCGGGCTTGGGACCGGCACTATAAAACACTGATTCCTGTACCCTAGTGGCTGGTTTACATTTCATCTATTGGTCTATTATCTATATCTCAGGGTTAATATTAGATCTCTGACTGAAGTTATTTTCCATACACATTTTCATTTCCCTGAAATCTCCACTGTTGTCCAAACGCTCACACATTCTCTTCACACTCTGCAACACTCACTGCTGCGGCTTTGAAACTCTTTGTTCTCCCCCCTCCAGTGCTTTGATATGCCAGGTGTTTATTTGCCAGCACTAAGCGAGTGTTTCAGTAAAGAGCCTTTCCGTGTGTCATGTACGCCTCAGCTTGTGGAGCTTTTGTTTTGTCTTAGAGCCACTGATCTTATCTGATGTGCACTATTCACTCTGGGCCCCTGAGATCCCTCTATCCTTGATGTAGATGATCTCCTCCATCTGTTGCATGGGCACTCATGTAAAACACACACACGTACAGACACAAGGCCTTGATCTAAGCCGTCATCTGTGATGGTGGATGTTCCTCTGTGGCTGCTGTCACTCAACTACTTCCTGTGCCGACAGTTTAATTATGTGAGCGACTTGACTACAGAACTGTGATTACTGTGATGAAACACTGTAAAACCTAAAAAGCATTATTTTGTGAAGTAACAAAGTAACAAAGAATATATAAATACTGTATATTCTTTGTTACTGGTATGCAAGTATAATTGCATACCAATAACCATCTAGGATATTTGTATATGCTAGAAAACATACTATGACATACTATGACAGTTTATTCCATATTGTGCTATACTATAGTATACTATACTTCACTATACATTATTGTGAAGGAAAGCACAAAATCCATCATCCATAATTAATTGCATGCTTTTTGTGCAACTTGCGGTGAAATCACTTTCTTGTTCTCAGGGACTGTCTCATTGTGCGTTTTCATAGCACACACAGTTGTTGTGTAATGGTGGCGCTTGTGTACATATGTGTGCATGTCATAAAGGTATGTTCACCAAACAGCTGAGCAGCCTTGTGCTTTTTTTGCGGCTGTATGTGACTGATCTGTCCTTGAAAGAGAAGAAATATGGCTGTGTAGGCTGTAGATACTGTAAACTGCTGGATAGTTATATACACAGGGCAGCAGCAGTTAGGTCAAGTGTCAATAAGTAGGTTAGTGTCAATAGCTTTAGTGGTAATGTTATGTTTGACTAAGGTTCAAGCTGCAGTGCGTGGTTGATACATTTATGGCTAACTTTAACCCATATGTTGATGTACATGATTCCACTAAGGTTTCTACAAAGCTATTGAAAGCCCTGTTTTTTACTGTTAAGTTCAGACACATAAATGATAAGAAAATATTGATCTTTCACAGTAACTGTTTTAATGTATTTTTATTAAAAAATTCAACTTGTACCAAATTACAATCTTTAAACTCCCAGAGGTCTAGTTAATTTTTGATCAACACATTCACACACTGCACATGCAGATGTTATAGTCCAACATTGTATTGTAAATGTCTGATGATGCATGTAGTTGGTATAGATGGTGGAGACAATCTGCAGCCAGCATGAGCACATTGCTGTTACTAGGTTTGACCAGTAGGGGCTCTGTCTCAAACATGATGACAACCAGCTCACAGCTTCTGTATTTCTACTCCTGCTCTTTGACAGAAGGGATGTGAAATGTCTATCCAGATACCCTCCCCCGCTTTCTCCTCATTCTCTGGCTTTGCATTAGCACATGTGTATTGGTTACTGAAACATATCAGATGGCCATGACCATAAAACCTGGGATTTGGCCAGCAAATTACTGCAGGGTTTCTAAGCCACTGTGGAGTGTTTTGTTCATGCGGTCAAAATAAACAAACCTCCTCATTACTGTCTATTTAATCTCCCTTTTAGCATGGCGATCACTCAGTGTGTATTGTTTGTGGACAATAGCTGTCATGTGTTTTCTCACTATAATTACGGCAGAATAAAGACAAGGACACACAAATTGCTAGGTAAACAAGGGTTCCAAATGTTTTATTCCTTCAATATCACTGGCAAATATAAACTGCTGCTTCACAACTGATTTCCAAGGGTTATTTTTCCTTCCTCTTCCACTGCAATGAAATCATTTTCATCTGTGTCCAAATTCTCCAATTCTTAAAAAGTGAATGCAGAAACGTCCATCCTTCTGTAACTGTCCAACGTACAAACATTTGGCCTTTCAGTAGAGAAAGGTGGCAGGTGACGATGAAGATGATTCTGATGATGTATTGAGGCTGAGATGCAGTGTGTGTGTTTGTATAATGCGTAAAAAGCACCACAGTTTTAGATGACACAATGAAAAGGAACATCCCAGCCAGTGAGTTCCACTGGGTTTAAACTGTTTAAACTGGGATATGGTTAAAACCTCACCCACTGACGCTGAAGCCCATTTCTGACAAGGGTCTTACAAACCAGTGCTGGGACCCCTTTGTGATACATGTGGCTACACCACACACAAGCATACATATCAGGTCTTTAAGGCATTGACAGCCACCTGGTTTGCAGGAACAGAATTATCAACACAAAGTAAACAGAAAACAAATACAAATACACATGAAGACGAGTTTCCCCTGGTGCTGAAATCCTGTAGCTTAAACAACTGGTCTGGAAGATTTTCACACCTGCTTCTTAAGGCAGGGGTCGAGAGCACCGGGGACGATGAAGGAGGGAAGAAAAGGTAATTATGTGTCATTACATACACATGTATGTGTAGGGAGTCACTTGTACAAACAGGTAAATGCAGACACTAGGACTGTTACTTTTTTCAGAATGGTAGCTCAAGTAAAATCTTTCCAAAAATGTCAGACTTGTGAAGAATTTGGCGCTAGCATCCTTTGGGCATGTAAATTAAATTTATCTATTTAATCAAAACATTTCCGTTATTGGTCATCTGCTCAGGTGTCTGCTCAGGCATTGGCAGTAAACAAAAGCAAGCAATTTGTCCCTCTATGGCAGGCACCAAGGCATTGACAGTCCTTGAGGAAACCTACAGTGAAAAGGCACTGATTTTGGGTTTGTGTTAAATTTGAATTATGCCACATTTGTATGGTTAGCCCCCATTTCTAGTTGGGTGTTTACCAAAGCAGTATTCAATTGGGGACAAGCAGCAGCATGTGCAGGCACAGAGGTTATAATAGCCAGCGAGCAACACTACAAATCAGAAAAAGGCTTGAAAAAAAGAAACAATTGCTGGTTTCTGTCAGACTCTTTAACCCAAATGTAGGCTGCTTTTCAGGTCCTTTGACGCTCAAAACAGCACATACAATATCAGGTTCTGGTGAATTCTAGAAGCCAGCATTTTGGTTCAGTCAATCCTGTGAACTTGGAATATGCCAATTTTTGTGGAATTTTAATGTTGTATTTGTCCACACAGCAGAGCAGGAGGAATCTTGTTTTTTCTTGCCAACAGCAAAAAAGAAATCAGCATCACTCTCCCCATATAAATGAAACTTTGTACTAATGCTGCTGGATTTTATTATCACCACTGTACTTGAATTCAGAAAATTAAACTAAATTTATTTTCATAACAAACTTTTTAACAAGTAGTAACAGCCCTGTCACACAGAGGAAATGCACACACATGGTAACAGGCCGTGGACGAAACAAAGAAAGAGAAAACATGAGAATCATAGACAGATATTAATGCTAAGGTTCATACACTAAATTTTTCTTGACTTGTTTTGATTTTTTTTGCATTTTCTTAGTAAACAACCGAACACAAAACATGAACAAAACCACTGCAATGTTTTTTTAACCGCCCACCCTCTACCACCCAGAAGAATAATTTTCTATCTGAAGAGAGTGTCGAAATACGCACACACGCACAAACCTAACCAAACTCACTGTATACACATGCACACACTGACAGATGGCACCTCAGTGATCACATCTGCCCACTCACACCTACATTTACCCTTTAGTTTCCCTAGTGTCGCTACACGTTTCCTCTCTCTTTGAAAAGGTTCGGATTCAAAAAGATGAAACGAGACAAAGCAGCATTCCTCACT